GCAATGAGCTCCTGATTTGTTAAAAAACAAAACAAAAAAAAAAAAACATTAGCCGGGAGGGGGCACCTCCAAGGGAGAGGTCCCACACAATAGCAAAGAGTATTGTTGGACTAAGCGCCCGAATCTGGATGCGTGCATTACGCACAGAAGCAGAACAAAAGCAGATCCATCATGATTTCCTCGACCCCTCTTAATAAATACCGTCCAGATGCAGGGATTAAATTTGAAACCACCTCCGCAGGGGAGAGAGGTCCCACAGTAGCTAGGAGTATTGTTGGATTACGCGCCTTAATCTGGATGTGTTCTACGCACAGATGCAGAAAAAAAGGCAGATCAGTCGTGATTTCCTCTACCCCTGTTCACAAACTCGTGACACGCACATGTCGAGAAATAGTCCCAATTTTTTGTACAAAAAAGCGCGATAAATCTTCAACTTTTATGTTAATTAAACCAAAAAAACAAAAAAAAAGGGCCTGGATTACGGGGGAAAAAAAAAAAAGACAAAGGAACTCGATCCACTACTCTCGACATGCACAAAAGAACTCGGATACTTACCCCTCCTGATGAGGCTAGAACTGGCTCTAGCCGAAACCGGTCGAGGGAAGCCAGACAGCCATCACCAGGGTTAGCCTGGCTATGGCTTCCTCTTGAGCTTTGTTGCAGATCTTTCGAAGAGATACTCTTGGTGTTGCAGAAGAGTAACTTCTGAGTAATTTCCGAGTTTTCACATATTCTGGCGGGTTGTATTTTTCAGCAACTTGCTTATGTGTCGCGTGCCGCTGATCTCAGTCGACGCTGTGATTAGCCTTCGCTCTTTCCAATCCATTCCAGTGCACAAAAGACAAAAAATAACGGCGGTGTATGTTTCCATGTTGTAGCGGAAGATTCACTCTCGTTCTGTGCACATGTCTAGAGTAGTCCGGCGAGGCCCACAGTTACAAACGCAAATTTAACGATGATCAAGTGTAGTATCTGCTATCGTACATCACTTTGATATCTGATCCGTGGTCCATTGCATCAAAAAAAAAAAAAAAAAAAAAACGATGTCGTCTGTTGCCGTTAAAGGTTCTAGTGTGCGTATGACCTGCCCTGCTATGTTGTCGGAGGGTTTTTTTTTCTGTTTTTTTTTTTGTTTTGTTTTGTTTCGTTTTTGTTTTGGTTTGTTTGTTTGTTTGTTTGTTTGTTTGTTTGTTTTGTTTTGTTTTTTTTCTAGGCTACCAGCCGGGCCGCCCTGGTCCCGAGTGGCCAGTCCGTGCAAGGACCAGAGAAGGTCCCAGCAAAATAAATAAATAAAAAAATAAAATCCAAAAAATCCGAAAAAACAAACTATGTTAAGCAGAAAAATAAGCTGAACAACTTTTTCCTAAGGGTCTCATCGAAATTCTTTACCAGATTTAAAATAAAAATTAAAACAAAATAAAATATATATATATCGTCACAAAAAGAACTGCCCGGTAAACCGTAGGCAGAGAGAGAGAAGAGGATAACAAACGAGGGGCTGTGACAAACTGTTTCGTCGGAGTTTCATATATTTTCAATGTTTTTCGGCCCGGCCGGGCAAGTGACCTCGGGCCACTCTGCTAGCCTAGTTTGTTTGTTTGTTTGTTTGTGGTTTTTTTTTTTTT